GACTGTATTTAACCTTCCGAGGCATGGCCCTAGCCCGGGGCCCAGTGGCACTTTGTTAATCACGGAGCGAGCCCAGTCCCATGTGCAGGGTGTCTGCGCTGTGGGGAGAAGTATGTCTGGGCTGAGTAGAGCCAGCACCTGGGCCAGAGCCCAGCTCCCAGCGCATGTGAACTGATCATGGGATTGCTTGTTTTTCCTGGGAGGGGAGGCGGGCGAGGATTTGGGCTTGAATTGTGCTGCTGTCAGTTTGGGGGGCCCCTGGGTTGGACTGTCTCTGCATCTAGAGACGACACCTTGCTCCAGGGAATGAGCAAGCCTTGACACTTAGGGTCCGGAGGGCAGGCTACCACATCACTGCACCTTCCTGGCAGGTGCTGGCCATTATTGGTGGCAGGACCCTGAGGTGACCCTGGCGGCTTGTCTGCTTCTAGAGTCTAAAAGTGACACAGGGATTTGGGCCACACATTTATCCTACAGACAAGACCCTTAGCCAAAAGGTAGGATCCTGTGGGCAACCTACATGGGCGCAGCCAGGTTTGCAGACTTAAACCCAGGCCGAAAGGCAGGGAGGATGCCTGTCTGAGGGGAACTTTCTGAGATGCTAGTCGCCTGCTCCTGCAGGTCTGATTGGTGCTTTTCTTGGTATGATCCTGAGGTTGCTCCCTGCAAACTGCAGAAGTAAATTGTGTTCAAAGCAGTTAACTGGTAAACTATTAAAATTGTGTCATTTAGGTCGTTAGCTGTTGGTGCCTTGAGACGGGACAGCCGGTGTGGGGATCTCATGGGACTGTGGGCAGGCATGGCCCAGCTAGGGTCCCGCCTATCCCTGCTACTTGGCCAGACCCGGGGTCCCACCTGTCCCTACCCAGCGGGGCTGGAGCTGCCAGCACGGTCGGTGGCGTGGCTGGGGTCCTGTCTGCCTGTGCCTGAGATGCAGCAGGGCTGGGGCTGCAGGCAAAGCCAGGGATGGAGCAGCTGGGGCTGCCGTTGTGAGTGTGGCTAGGGTTCCTCTTCCCCCGCCCAGAGCGCAGTCTCGCCTGTCCCCATTTGGGGCTGTGCAGCTGGAACTGGGGTCCCACCTGCCCCTGTGCAGCTGGCGAGGCTGGGGCCGCTGTGGGGGTGCTGCTGCAGCAGCCAGGGCTGCCACTGTGGCCCTGCCTGCTGACCTGTCCTGGCTCCTCCCACCTGGCCCATCAGGTTAACTGGTTAACTAATAAGTTTAATTCTTACCAGGTAATTGGTTAACCTCTTACATCCCTCCTGCAAACGTTCCTCAACAATGGAGTAACTGTCATTAGAACAGAGTGACCGGTTGCTTCGGTCTAGCTCTTTCGCCCCATGTAGCTCTCTGCCTGTCCATAGGTCGCTTACCCGTAATTCTCCAACAGTAAGTATCTCAATCCCCATTTCACAAAAGGGGAAACTGAGGAAGAGAGTGGCGTAGTGACTTGCCTAAGGCCACTCACTGAGTCAGTGGCAGACCCCAGGTGTCCTTGCAGTTTGTTGCTCTTTCCATTGGGCTTTACTGCCTACCTGTTTTTATTTTTTACAAGTGCTCTTAAGAATATTTTAGTGTTGGTCTCTTGGCTCTCTAAAGTGTGTCTCCTGGAGGATGGCTCGAAGAGCATCTTAAATTGAGCCTTACAGCAGAACTATGAGGTAGATGGGTATTATCCCTGTTGCATAGGATGGGAAACTGAGGCACGGAGGGGGTCAGTTCCCTGCTCTGCCACCACACCTAGCCCTGCGTCCCAGTCCAGTGCTGCAGCCGGAAGCCTTTTGTGACACTCATTTGTCTCCCCCTTGCCTTGGCAGCCTGCCCCACATGGTATCCGCACCCCACGTTGAGTTTATTGCTCTGCGGCAGCTGCTTCCATCCCAGAACAATGGAGCTGGTTGTACACCTACTGCTCAGCTGGCCCCAGGGAGCGGCTGTCTTTCTGTGGAGCCCCGGGATCCCCTCCTCCACATCCCAGTGCTTGCCAATTAACGTTTGCATCCAGTTACCTCGCTGCTGTGTCCCTTGTGCTGGGGTCTTCCTGGGCCTCTCTTGCCTCCTTTGTGCCCAGGGTAGCTAAAGGCTGCTTGCTGCCCCCGGGATGGGGTCCCTTGTTTCTGTGCAAATGTATACGCGGTGAAGGAAACTCCTGGCGGGCCTGTGCCAGCCCACTGGGTCTCAGGCTGCACGGCTGTGTCATTGCTGGGTAGATTTCCAGGCGTGGGCCGGAGCCCAGAGGATAGGACCCTGTGAGGTAGCAGGGTCTGAGAGCCACCTCTGGGCCCCTCTCAGCCCCTCTGAGATGGATCATGTCGCCATCCAGTAGCAGTGTCCATGCCACTCCAACTGCCCGTTCTCTGCTTTCCCGCCTCTTCTCCCCTGGATGGGGGTATGGAGCCTGGCTGTCCTGGTCACGTCCCTCTGAAGGCTACATGGGGGCTACCAAGAGGTTCCTAATGCCGGGCTGGGTAGTAGTTTTTGAGGGGGAGGGAGGCACTCCAAGAATTTGGTAATTGGTCCAGGGCGGCTTTTCATAGAAGTGGTCGGAGGCAACCAAAATAATGAGGGGGCTGGAGCACTTGATCTAGGAGGAGAGACTGAGGGATTTGGGCTTGTTCCGTCTGCAGAAGAGAAGAGGGAGGGGGGATTTGAGAGCAGCCTGCAGCTACCTGGAGGGAGATTCCAAAGAGGCTGTTCTCGGATGGCAGAACAAGGAGCGATGGGCTCAAGTTACAACGGGGGAGGTCTAGGTTGGATATTAGGAAAATCGATTTCCCGAGGCGGGCGGGAAGCCCTGGGCTGGGCTCCCTAGGGAGGGGGTGGAATCTCCATCCCTAGAGGTTTTTCAGTCTCGGCTTAACACAGCCCTGGCCGGGAAGATTGAGTTGGATTGGTCCTGCCTTGGCAGGGGGCTGGACTCGATGACTCCTGAGGTCTCGGCCAGCTCTATGATTCTGATTCTAGGGAGTTTGGGAGGAGGAGGGGTTGTGACCTGGGGTGCAGGGTGTGGGTGCAGGAGCAGGAGTGCAGAGGGCTTGGGTTATGTGAGCAGGGGTGCAGGAGGTGGGCTGGGGGGTGGGGGATGGGGGGCTAGGATGCCTGAGGGAGGCGCTGGCCAGGAGGCACTTACCTAGGCAGCTCCTGGCCAGGAGCCCAGCACATTTTTCAAGCAGGCTCTCTGCCTGCTACAGCCCCCGCATGCCCTCAGAGCAGCCTGCTACAGGGGCCATGTACTGCCCTGAGCGCAGTAAATGGGGGTGTGCGCTGCCTATCCTGCCAACGTGGCCCTCGCAGATTGTGCTAGGGGCGGGGCAGTGCATGATGTTATCCCCCCACACACCCATCTCCGCAGTCCTCTCACACACAGGCCCTTGCAGTCAGCCGCTCTAAGTGGCAGGCGGGGGCTCACCCCCCCATGGGCCAGATCCAGCAGCATGGTGGGCTGGATTTTGCCTGGCCCTGCCCTAGTGCTATTTATTCATACTGCAGCAGTATCTTGAGCCCCAGTCAGAACCTGGGACTTCGCTGAGCTCGGCGCTGTACACACCCACAACAAACTGATAACTCCGCCCTCCGGAGCTTGCACTGGGAGCAGTGGAGTCTCCCCTGGGCCCAGCTCGGCATGCCCCGCTCTGAGCAAAGGCCTGGCAGTCACCCTGCCTCGCTGCAAAGCTTGTTACAACAGGTGGGAAGTAGAGAGCACCAGGCCCTGTCTGTGCCGATGGAGCTCAGCCAGCGCGGATCCTCAGATGTGCCTCATTGATGTGAGTTACTTCTAGTTTAAATCCATCCAAGCAAGGGATATAAAATCCCATTGAATTGGTTAACCAGTTACCCGTAATGTTTAACTGGTTAACCAATTAAAGGGGGAGCAGGCAGGGGGACTGGAGCGGCCTCCCCTCCTGCCGCACTCGGGCTGGAGAGCCCCCCTCCGGATGGCTGGAGCAGAACCTGCGTGCAGCACATGCAGCTCTGCTGCAGACAGAGGCTGCTCCAGCCCCCCTGGTTAATCGGAACAGGTAAGCGTCACTCATTGGGAGCAATGGTTACCAGTTAACCCTTCACATCCTAGTCCTAGCCCTGGTTTACATCCACCCTGAGGAAGGGGGGGCGGCAGTACCACTGTAACTACCTGTATAGACACCAATCTGGCTACTGACTGACAGTCGCAGCGCTAGGCAGCACACAGGCGGCAGGACTCTAGCTCCCCCTCAGCGAAATGTTCCAACTCCACTTGTGTGCGTCCGTTCTGGGGAGTGAGGACGTCTTGAGACACAGCGTAGGAGGGAGGATCCTCTGTTGACTGCATAGTAAATCCCAGGGTCCTTTCTTCCCCCCTTGTTCCAAGTAGTCTAGTGACTCGCGTCCTCTTTCACTGCCACTTGGGGGCTATGTCCGTCCCATCGTGTGTCTTTGCTGGTTCACATCTGCTGGAGACCCCAGGCTCAACAGCGTGGAGCTGTCTTCAGCAAGCAGTGCTACTGCGGTGGGAGCCAGTGGCGCTTTGGTTGTCTCTCTCCCTATCCTTTGCCCCCACTACAAAATAAAAAATGGCTTCCGAAGGACTTCTACACAGAGCGACGCTCACGCGCATCTGCACACACCTGCATCTTGCAAAGAGCAACCGGAGGCTGCAGCGGAGGGCGCGTATCCACCCCAGCTGGTTTCTTTTGATGCTGCGTAACCCTGCTTCACTAGCATCTGCTGTATCAGGGTCTTAATACACTTCCTAATGGTGAAGGAGTTCCCCCTCACGCCCCCTCAGCCAGGCACACGGCCACCTGTGAAACGAGGAGGAGAAGCTGAGACGGAGAGGGGTCTGATGCGTTGGCCAAGGTCGTTCTGTTGGGCTGGGAATAGTCCTGGCAGCCAAACGCTTTGCTCTGTCTGTCCCACATCAGTGCCTTTCCCGTTTTCTGCTCGCTGCAGTTCCCAACGCCCCTGCTTATGGACGCATGCGCGCTCATTCCTTGTGCTCATTTTGTCCTCCTGTCTCTTCTAGGTGGGAGCCGAAGGAGCTAAGCTGGCAGGACGCTCTCCGCAGAATGTGCTCTTCACCAAAGAGCGGGCCAAAGCAGGCGAAGATGAGAATCCCTGCGGGACCTACAAAAGCACTAATGTTGTAGTAGCCCGGCACCTGTGGCTGGCAGCGACCTCCTCCATCGCAGACCGTGATGGTGTATTGACCGAGAAGAGCCCTGCTTTTTTTTATTTTTCCTTCCCCTCCCTCCCCCCTCACGTTTCGGTGGCTGTGGGGTTTGTATGGCAGCGGCGTAACCGTGGAGAGGCCGGGGTATCACAAACTTATGGATTTTGATAAGAGAGGAGGGAAAGGGGAGACAGAGGAAGGCAAAAGAATGTCCAAGGCAGGTGGAGGAAGGAGCAGCCATGGGAGCCGGAGCGCAGGGACAAACTCTGGAGTCTTAATGGTGGGCCCCAACTTCCGTGTCGGGAAGAAGATCGGATGTGGCAACTTCGGGGAGCTCCGCCTAGGTGAGATGGGCCTGTTTTGATTTACATCCTTACTGTGACTCTGCATTGCGCTTCTGCTGTGAAATCCATTCCGGTCTCCGACTTCCCTAGCAGTGTTGCTTTATGCAAGTAAAAGGAGAAACCATCCTGCACCCTCCTGCCCTAGATCTATACCAGGAACCATGTTTGGCAGACTGCAGGCCACGGAGGCGGGGGTTCTTCATGCAAATTAGGCAATGCCCTGCTTTCCATTTCATAAACATGCATTGTTGCATTTGCATAAGACCTTTCTTCCTGAAATACTCCCCTTTATCCCCAGCATCCTTTCACTGCGCTCTCATTGCAAAAGCCTGCCTGGAAGGTGTAAGATAGACCAGGGCTGGGGAACCTTTTTGGGTCAGGGGCCGATGACCCACAGAAAAATCAGTCAGGGGCTGCACACAAGTGACAAAAAAACCCCAAACCCTCAGTGGTGTGGTCCCCCGACTGAGGAGGAGAAAGACCCTCCCCACATTCCCCCTACACACCAGCGCCGTGGGGGCCCAGGCTAGTAGATTTTGTGTGTTCCAGCTCCGATGGGGGATTGGAGCATCATCATGGGCTGCCCCACACGGGGTGAGGGAGCCCCGAGCCTTGGAGGCCGGATCCAAGCGAGCTGGGGGCTGCATCCGGCCCCTGGGCCTGAGGTTCCCCAATCCTCCTTCAGACCATCCTAGAGCAAGAGAGCTAAGGGTCAGAGGGGAGTTTGATCCCCCTCTGTGAGATCAGACCTGGTAATCAAATTGCTGCCTTTTACTCCCAGCATTTTCAGTCACAGTGGCAATGTTCCAGGCCAGGTCCGTTTGAATCCATTTCACAAGGTGTCTACAAAGAGGTATTTTGTTTTGGGGACATTCTTATGGGAAGTCAGACTGGATGATCACAGGGGTCTCCTTTGGCCTTCGGAATCTGACTCTGCGCCAGATGTTCCACTAAACTCCAGCCAGTGTCTGTTACTCCTGGAAAAATGAGTAGTCCTGTGGCACCTTCGAGACTAAACAAATATGTGGCTCGTACCGTGGGCAAACCCCCTTCCTCAGCTGAGCAGCTCGCGAGTGCACACAGGTTGGCCTGGGAAGAACAGTGTGGACAGGAGTCTCTCCTCCACATGGCGGCTTCCTGTAATGGCAGACCCCCAAAGGGAGGAGCTCAGTGGCAGATAAGAGATGGGGTGGAGGGTGTGGGAGCATCTGCTGCCTGCAGCCCATGGGGAAGAGGGTGGGAATGAACGTTTGCTTCAGCGGAGGTGGTTGGAAATTTATTTATTTAATATCTGGGGGCACTCCTCCCGCCCCCCAAACCTCCCCCTTTTTTTATAGGGGGGGGAAGTCAGGGACTTTGGACCAAAGTGACCGTGTTTGAGGTGGGGGGAGGCGGCGAGGGTCATTGCTCATCCAAACAAAGCTCAGTGACAGGGTTTCTCCAAACTGCGGCTCTCGGCTGGGAGTGCAGCACTGGCGTGCAGCAGCCCTGAAAGGCCCCGGCAGTCCGGTGCTGCCCCGGCAGCCCGGGGCTGCCCCGCCGGGCCCCCCTAATGGGAATGGGGCTTCAGCGAGCTGAACGAGTATTCGCCAGACCGACTATTTGGGACATTCGCTGTGCTGGAGGGAGACTGGCTGTAGCTCACTCCCAAGAGCTAGCTGACAGCCTCAGCAACTCCAGTGCCTTCTCTTGCCCCCTCTGCATCTCTTCGGACTGAGCTTCACACCCTTGGCCTGTGAGACGCGCCAGCAAGTGGGATGGTGTCTGGAGTTGGGTAGCCTGAGGCAGCATGGCTGGACGGAGGGACGGGGCACGCCCACCTTCCTGCGTTCAGCAAGCTGACTGGCTGCGCTGACTTCATGCCAGCTCTGCCTAGTGCGACCAACTTGGTGATGCCTGACACCACGCTGCTCCCAAATTCCTCGGTGCGATTGCCGCTTAATCGCAAAGCTTGGGAAGATGCTGCGTTTGAAACCCAGCCACCTGGCTCCTGCCTTGGAGGAAGGAGGGAAACCTGTCTCCCTGAACCTCAGGGAGCAGCTCGGCTCCCTCCCCAAACCAGACTAGCCGTGGCAGTCTGCACGCAGCGCCATGTGCGAACATAGCCAAGCCCAGCCAGGCCTTCCCTCACCTGCCACTCCCACTCCCATGTAGGGCGCGACCCCAGCCCTGCAGCTGTTGTCTTGAATGCAATTGGTGGCTGAGAGAGAGTGAGAAATCTGACTGCTGTGCCCGTTTCCCCTGGAACACCGCTTGGCTGGCAGAGTCCTGCAGTACCAAGTACTGCCCTGCCAGGTGGCGGTTCCTGGACTTGCTGGTGTGTCAGCCTTCAGCCAGGATGTGCATGATAAACGGGAAACCTCCCACTCCAACCACAACCCCCCCTGCCTGCTGGGAGGGAGGAGAATTGTCTCTCTTGGATTTCCCCGCTACCCACTGCCCAGCCCAATGATTCATTGCTGGGGCTGGTTTGTTGGGGCCTGGCTCTGGGGCTGTTCCCCTCCTGCAGCCTGTTTCAATGGGGAAGGGGTCTCCGCTCGGCTTTCTCTCAACCCCCTGGTTGCTCCCGTGCAGTTGGCTTTGCTGTTCTGCCCCATCGCCAGTAAATAGCATTACATCACCTCCCCAGCAAAGAGCTTCAGTTCCTGCCTCCGCTGCCCATCAGAGACTTCTCAAGCTGCCTCAGAATAAATTGACCAGCCGTGACACTTTACCAGCTGCTTACAAGCTTTGAATAGCACAATACAAATGGGTAACGCCCTGGTCTGGGTTCACTCTGCTACAGGTCTGAGCGCAAGAGGCCCCGGGGCAGTCTGCTCCCAGACTCAGGCAGATGGCACTGCACTGATTCCTATGTGCACGGCGAAGTTCCCTCTGAGCTTTCCCATCCATGTGCAGAATGACTTTTATGTGCACCACCGATAGAGAAACACCACCTAGCAGCAGGAGCTCTGCTGATCAGCTGGGCGGCATTTGAATTTCTCCCCAGCTGCTGCACAAGCATCCAGCTTAAGGGAACATGTGCATGTTTATTCTCCAAACCATGAGGGCTAGAAGAGGAACTACTACTTCCACTGGCAGTTGGGATTCTGCAGAGCTTGTAGCGCTTCTTGGGATGAATTTCTGCTTGCCGTAGATGTTCAAGTCTCTGCATGTAGTTGTTGTAGGAGGCCTGTGCACCCTGTAGTATTCTGATGCTTATCTGTAAAATGGCATGATAAAACGGGCCATTGGGCTCGAATGGGGAGTGTCCCGGTACAGAGATGTAGGCCAGAGCAAATTGGTCTGTTTGATCATATAATCCAATTTACTTCCTCCTCCGATACGCCATTAACTTCTTTCAAGGCTCCAGAGTGCTTTCAGGAGTCAAATGAAAAGTCTTAGAGGGATAGCTGTGTTAGTCTGTAACTTAAAAAAAAAAATAGGAAGAAAAAAAAGCAGTGGTCCTAGAGCACCCTTGAAGCCAACAAAGCTAATAGATCGTATCGAGAGCTTTTGTGGGCACAACCCACTTTTTCAGATGATAATTTGATGATAATTACTCCTAAAAATACAAACCTTGATCCATGCCCATGCCAGAGCATGTGTGAAAGGACCAAAGTGACCCCAAATGATGGGGCAAAAACACTGTCTGCTGAGAGAGAAATCAGATAACACTGCACTGCTGGGCAGCAGGCCCAATCCGGACTGTCCTGGGGGAGAGGAAGCACCCAAAGCAGAACTGATTGCAAAATCCAAAATTCAGTTTTGGGTTTTAAAAACCAGACGTCTTTGGATGTGTTTCCAGTGTGAAGGGGAACTTGCTTCTTTTGCAAACAGCATTGAAACTTTGCATGACCCAAGTGTGTGTCGAGAACAGATGCAGTTTGGGGAAGGAAAAAACCTGAGAAAAATGGCATATTTCAAAAAGGAAAGTTTTCAACACACAACTCCTTGGCTGTAACGTTGGCCGGCTGACTTGAAAGCTGGTGCTGCTTTCTGCTTGGAGGCGGGAGGCACCGTAGATCTCAATTACCCCATTTGGGGGAGACAGTGTCCAAGGTGCTAAAACTCAAAAGCCACTGCTGAAAATGTTGGTTTGAGATGCTGAAAGGCAGAGTGCAGGTGGCTCCCAAGTCTCTCGTTGTCCAGGGCAGGGGTTTTCAGTCGGGTTTCGTTTGTAGACCCCTAACCATTTTGAATGGCGGCGTGAACCCCTTTGGGAATATTTGACCTAGTGTGTGGAACCTGAGGCTGGCGATCACAGCGCTGTGTTACAGCAACGCTTCAAGGCCTCAGCTGAGATCAGGTCCCTTTTGTGTTGCATGTTACACAGACGCATAGTTGGGCAGGTTCTGCCCCAAAGAGCTTACAATCCAGACAGACGGAACTACCTCACTGGCTTCGAACCGTGGAAAGTAGGGTTGTAAAATCCCGTTTAATTGGTTAACCGGTTAACCGTGATGCTTAACCAGTTAACTGATTAAAGGGGGAACAGGCTCCGCTGGCGAGGCTGGAGCACCCCCTGGAGCAGGCCCTGCAGGGCTAGCGCTCCCAGCAGCGGGCAGGGTGCTGCTCCGCTCCCCACCAGTTAACAGAAACCAGCAAGCCTCACCCAGAATTGGTTAACCCTTCACACCCCCAGTGGGAACCAGGGCAGCAGGGCAACGAGCCGTCCAGGGGAGCCGGGTTTGTGAGTGGCCAGGAAGCTGCTGAGTGCTGCGGTGTCACCGATGTGCTGCCACGCACCTCTCTCAGCCTGCCCACGGCGATGCCACCTGCTGGCCTCATGCTGGAGGGAATCCGGGGCGCGGGTGGGAAGCAACTGCCTCCGGCTGCAGGTGAGCAAGTCTCGTAGGGAGGCAAAGGTCCCGTGAGGAGCCAACAGGAGCCACAGTTCCCTTGGCTGCGGAGGGCGTTTGAACAGCCTCTGGGCCTTGTTGCGCCCGGGTGTCCAGCACAGGCATGGTTTGGCTGGCTCGGAGACTGTGCCCTTTCCTCGTGGGTGCAGATACTGGGGG